TTAAAATTTACTAGAAATTTTATTAAGCATAATAATAATATGATAATTAAAATTTATCTGCATTGTTTCTGAATGAGCTTCTCACAAAAAATATTAAATTAAATAATACATTAATTCAGCTATAAATAATCATAATAAAATACATTTTTACAAGAATACTATCTNTCAGCTATAAATAATCATAATAAAATACATTTTTACAAGAATACTATCTAGATCAAACGTCCCAAGGTACTATGATTTGAGGGTTATCGAATCAATTTAACATACGAAGAACTTATACATCAATCGATAAAAAAATGTAATTTTATGATCCATAAAATTTTGACACACGTGTCAGTTTTTATTCTACATGTTACTAAAATCTACAAAAAATTATCATTTTTTACATACAATAATTTTACTTCAATATATATTTTCAATTAAGCGATAGAGCAAAAAATTCATCTGAAATTTAATTTAAAATATTATTCTTGGATATTAAATACTTTAACTATACGTTGAGCAAAGGATTTTTTTAAAATTTAGTTCTTAATATATTTAATATTTTCAAGAATTTAGAAAAATCCATTTTTTATTTTATTTTATTCACAAAGGCGGTTAATCAAATAAAATTAAAATTGGGTGACAAATAATTATTGATTGATATAGATACTTGAAAATAAATAAAGATATCTGAATAATGTTGACTAAATAGTTTCTTTATTTCCTATGAAAGCTGATAAAAAGAGATTTAGGTGAAATATTACTATCTAATATGACCTATATTTTCAATATATTATCGTCAATATTTTTTATCGTTAAATTCATCTTTGAATCATATTCATTGTTTATGTTCAGTGTTGGCGTAAGAGCAGGGCGTGTGGGATACATGCCCCCGAAAAATTTCTATGACTTCTCCAAAAAAATAGAAAATATATCTTCAGCATAAAATAATTTTTACTTAAAGGGTCTATCCAATTTCAACCCCCTCAATTCTGTCACAGACGATCCAAAATTAAGATTTGTCCCGGATCCTGTGAAAATCATTATCATATTTACTTGTTAGCTATATAAATACGTTGTAATGCAAAACTTAACAAGACATAATTATTGAATTCTAATAATTAGACTTCAACAATAATATAAATAATAATTATTATTATTTATATTATTGTTTATAAGACAATAAAATAATAGATATTGACACTCAAAGAAATAATTTCCTATCTTATCTAAATAAATAAAGTAATGAATTTATTACTGTGTAACATTATAAAAAAAATATTCACAACAGAAATTATTTTAAATAATGGGATACAGAACGCAGAGATAGAACTTATTCTACTCTTTGTAGAAAGCTAGTACATAATTTGATATCACAAAAAATTATCAAATGTCATTTCTCTTGAGTATTATAATAATTATAATACTCAAAAAAAAAATAATTATTATATAGTCAATTTTTATATTATTTTTGTCTGTTACTAAATATAATTTTTGAAGTATGATTTTGTATTTAATATTACATTAATGAACAATTCATATAAGTTCGTATACAAGTTAAAAAGGCGCCTCTTTACTAAATCCACAAAAATTTTATTTTATTTTACAAATTAGCTTATTGACAACAGTTTCAATACACATTTAGAAATTATTTCATTTATAATCAATAGTTTCCATGACTCATTCATTAAAACTTTTTATCAAATAACATAAGTTTGATTAAATGATTACAGTTTAAGTGTATGGATATTTACGTATAATTACATAAAATTGATATACATAAGTTATTTAAAAATATAAACACTTAAATAAATTTACTAATGGTTAAAAAATACTAATTAATCCATCCAAAAAATGTATTCGACACTTATAACACAAATAGAAGCGGTGCGTTGTTTTTATAATTTGTCTAATGTTGTTCAATAATAATTTACAAGGTTATGATGAATAAAAATTACATCAATATATGGAATGGCCTGACTTTTCACATAGTATTCAAACATTTGACCAAAAAGTCAAAAAAGCAATGAAATTTAAATTATAATAAAGATAATTTTTTTGGGGAAATACCACAGCTTCTATATAAAGTGAACTATTTATTTTTACCCACTCATTAATCGAAAATTAATTACTAATTACAATTTAGCATCATCCTTTATAACTTGAAGGAATGATAATTCATTTTTTTAATGACAACATACATATTTAATTAACCTCTAAAATAGAAAATTATGAGTCGACAACAACTTTGTTAGAACTTTAAAAGTTATGACAGATGACAGAAATTTTAGACAGATTCGACCGCACTCATCATGACTCCCACGTATAAAAATTTTATGAATGAATCACATTCGATGTATTGGTCTAAAAGTTGTTATTGATCCGTCACTTTCTATTAATTAGATCATTTTCTATTTTATAGGCTATTTAAAATATATATGTTCCCAGTTAAAAAAATTTAATCGACGTCCTTATAAATTTAAAGAAGTGAAATTAAAAAGTAATCAATAGTTTATTAATCAAAAAATTTATCTATTAAAAAAAAAAACAAATTTTTTGGTTAATTAAACCTGTAAATAGTATTCTTTTCTATATTGAAATTAAAATCTATATAAGATATTCAAATCTAGTCGATATTTAATAATTGTTATAATATAGTAAATAAAAAACCTAATAAATAAATGAAATAGATATTGTTAGATATTCTGTGTACCTCGAATATTTGGTTCCGAATACTAAATAACATCAACTAAAAATATATTTTATTTGTGTGTCAAAAAATAATATTCGATTTTCCAAATTTACTGATTCGGCATATCACTAATTAATATCATAATTCATTGACAATTTGTGATATATTGTTTCCAATTTATTCGAGTGCCAACGATCCGATTTAATGAACTTCTACTCAGAGATAGAGGTAATGGGGGTAGATGCCCTAAATCGTCAAAAAGTATGAATACATTTTAATTATAAAATGAATTTGGTTAAACATTTTTTGTATCGATTGATGTCGGAAGTTGATTTACACGGTCTAGAAGGTCTAAACCTTTCTTAGACATTGATAATTTTACATTATATAATATGTAGGATATATATATATACAGGGTGTTCAGTATGTCAGGAAACGGGTTTCTATTGTTCTCATTGTTACAAACAATGACTTACCGTTTCCTGACTTACTGAACACCCTGTATATGTATGTACACCTAAAATTAAAATAGATATCGCGTGAATGTAATTGTTATTACTTTTATACGATAATCAATAAATAAAATTATTTTATTACTATTGAATAAAACGCATGTTATAGCATAAATACATTACTTAATTAAATAACCAAATTGTTTAATTATTTGTTATATGTATTTTTTTTATAGGTTTGGACTTTTTAGAAAATGGTTCAATTTTTGAGCATGCTATTACATGCGCAGGTATGTATAATACAATGATAATTAAAAAGAATGATATTAATGAAAAATTACTTGTATTCATATTTCTTTTCTTTTATAGAATTCGGTAAATTTCACTATTATTTGCTCGTACTTAGTGGTTTAATTTATGCAAATTGCGCTATATCTATTACAATTATCTCATTTGTTTTACCATCAGCACAATGCGATTTCGATTTGAGTTCTTCAGATAAAGGCCTATTAAATGCCGTTCCCCTTTTAGGTATAATAAATAATCACAATGAATTATTAATTATAAAGGAAATAAGATTCTATTTATTATTATTTTGTTAGGCATGTTCTTAGGATCTTATTTTTGGGGATGTTTAGCTGAAATGCATGGAAGAAAAAATGCATTGATTGGAGCGTTACTCTTAGATGGTATTTTTAGTTTAATATCCAGTTTTCTAACGTTCTTTTGGCCTTTTTTGTTTTGCCGTTTCTTTAGTGGTTTTGGGTAAGTCAATTTACAGTTGATTTCAAATTTATGATTAAATAAAATTCTCGACTTAAGACTATCGCAAAGTTTTATTTGAATGGAAAACAGTTATTTTTTATCAATCAATTAATTTTGTGATTTTAATATTTTTTTCCTTTCTAGGGTTGCAGGTTACTTGGGAATATTGTTTTCATACTTAGGAGAATTTCAACCAAAAATTTATAGGGAAAAAGTATTGTCATGGTTGGAGACATTTTGGACTTTGGGCGCTATTGCATTACCATGTATTAGATTTAAATTCTTACTTTTAGTTTTTATTTTAGTTACATTAAAGATTATTTTATTTTTCAGTGATCGCTTGGGGTATCATACCACTAACAATAGAATATAGATATGATATTTTTAAGTATTCCTCATGGAACGTTTTTTTAACATTATGTTCTTTACCCAGCATCTTTTTGGCATTGTGGTTAACTCAATTTCCAGAAAGTCCAAAGTTCTTACTAGAGTGTGGTGAATATGAAGAAGCACTAAAGTGTCTTAAACAGATATATATGGAAAATACGGGTGAACCCGGTGACTCTTATCCAGTATGAAATAATAATTATTATATGTATATATGTAGAATAAGTAACAATAGTTATACAAACACAAGTCAAAATTTAAGGGGGATAATCCNACAAACACAAGTCAAAATTGAAGGGGGATAATCCCTCTTCCAGTTTAAATATCGCCCTTCCAAAATCTGTGGAACGTATTAAGCAATTACAAGAAATAATATTTATTGATATAAACAAATATATTTTATTATGGGAAAAAAAATTGCCCCTCGAAAAAAAAGTATTATTTTTTAAATCAACAAAAATTATTCAAACCAATTCAACATTTATCTTAAGATAATCAATTATATCTAAAAATTATTTGTTATGTGTCAGGTACGAAGTCTCATTGAGAACGAAGTACGTTGCAGTATAGTCAGTATACAGTCAAAACGATCACTAAGAAGTATGAAAACTGTCAAGACCCCAAAAGACTTAAGAAACTTACTAAAAGAGATTTGGTACCAAACTAAGGAAATGTTTAAGCCACCACATTTAAAAAACACTGTCCTTACTTGTTTAATACAATTAGGATTATCATCTACGTGAGTATTAATACATCATATAATTCATTAGTGTAATTCAAATTTGTAATTTTATCATGATCTTAATAGTTAACATTACCGCAGATACTACACAATGATGTTATGGTTTCCGGAGTTGTTTAATAGATTTGAACATTTTGAACATGAACAACCTGGCAAAGACACATCAGTTTGTCAAGTATCATCGGTATACATTAAAACCAATGGGAACCTCAACTTAAATGACTCGTGTGGATCAAGTATTGGCCATTCTGTGTATTTGCATACTTTATGGATCGGTATAGCTTGTATCCCTACATCTCTTTGGATGCCTTTGTGTGTACATAGATTAGGCGCTAAATTTTTTTTAGGTATGCATAACTAAATTTAACTAAAAATTACATGATTATTATAAATAAAAACCTTCTCTGTTTCGCATCGAAGTAAAATACAAATTTTAAATGAATTTATTTATTTTTATTGTTATTATTTTTTAATTAAAAAACAAACACAATAAAAATAAAAATAATAAGTAGAAAAAACAAAATTAACCATACTAAAATTTAATTAATAAAAATATTTATTGATTAATGAATGAATTAAAACTTTTAATAGTTGAAAATAAAACCTTTTAAAATTGTACATAATATTTGTAGCTATAGACGCACATAGGAAGTGCTAGGTAGTGTTTTATTAAGATAGTTTAGATCTTTATATTGGTAATGTTAAGATTTTTGTATTATTTTACATAGAAGGGAGCAGGATGAGGACGAGAAATGTATTATAATATAAATAGTCATATCTGCGTCTCTCCTCATCACACTGGGGAGAGGCGTTAAAATATACAATATAATATACATGTTAACTTCCAAATTACTAGTTTAAAATTTATTACCGAACAATCATTTATAGTACTCCCAATTTTCGATTGAACGTGTGCCCATCTCTTTGTCTCGTATCCAAAAATCAAAAAATTATGATTTTGGAATTATTTATATGTATGATACTAAGAGTTATCTGTTATTTACCAAAAATGGTATACATTTATATTTTTTATTAAATTAAACACACATAAATAATTATATATAATTATATAAATATATATATTATATTAATTTATAAAATTTAATTATTAAAATATATGTTTATGAGGTATATTCAAAAATTGCTGTATAATATTTATATAATCATAAGAAATTTATATAAAAATTAGGGTGCTTTTTTTCACGAAGTTTTTTCGCCCCCAATTAAAAATATCATTGGAAATAACAAAAAAAAAACCCTGAGAATTTGAACCCTTCATTTTAATATTATGTACTTTCCCAGAGTAGGTAAAGAATTCCCATTTAAAATACATCTAAACTTAGATTTTTATTTGTTAAACTACTATAATTCAGCGNCACACTGGGGAGAGGCGTTAAAATATACAATATAATATACATGTTAACTTCCAAATTACTAGTTTAAAATTTATTACCGAACAATCATTTATAGTACTCCCAATTTTCGATTGAACGTGTGCCCATCTCTTTGTCTCGTATCCAAAAATCAAAAAATTATGATTTTGGAATTATTTATATGTATGATACTAAGAGTTATCTGTTATTTACCAAAAATGGTATACATTTATATTTTTTATTAAATTAAACACACATAAATAATTATATATAATTATATAAATATATATATTATATTAATTTATAAAATTTAATTATTAAAATATATGTTTATGAGGTATATTCAAAAATTGCTGTATAATATTTATATAATCATAAGAAATTTATATAAAAATTAGGGTGCTTTTTTTCACGAAGTTTTTTCGCCCCCAATTAAAAATATCATTGGAAATAACAAAAAAAAAACCCTGAGAATTTGAACCCTTCATTTTAATATTATGTACTTTCCCAGAGTAGGTAAAGAATTCCCATTTAAAATACATCTAAACTTAGATTTTTATTTGTTAAACTACTATAATTCAGCGGCATTTTGTGCTATGCACATCGCGCAAAGTCAACATTTTCTAAGGGTTAGACACTATAAAAGTGACCAATGCAATGTAACCACAAATCATATTGGCGGGTCACTGAATCTGATATTTGCAGCACTATTTCATAAATTATTAGATTTATCAAATAAATATATGATAACAAATTTGTAAAAAATTTAATTTCCTATAGAAAGGTTCTTAATACAAGATAGCTAAATTTAATATTTCTCAAGATATTGTATTTCAATTTTTTGTGTATTATTGCGTTCAATTATAAAACTTAAGTTTTGTTGCAGTCACGCTGCATTAGAGCGCAAAAAAGTCGTGAAAAAAAGCACCTAAATAAAAATAAATATTTTTTGTAAGATATCATTTATGTATTATAAGTAATGTTAATTAAATAAGTACACATCTTATACTTTCATTTCAGTAATAAGTCTTTTTGTATCCGGTGTTGTAATAGCTGCATTGAACTTCGTCAGAAATTCTTTACAAAATCTTATTTTATCGTGTTTATTTGAAGCATTTACAAGCTTAGGTATCAGTGTACTTATGTGCATTATGGTGGAACTATTCCCAACTAACATGAGGTTAGTATAACGTTAAATAAAAACCTATATGAATTATAAATATTTGGTGCATAAAAAAGTTAACCGATTTTGCCTGATGTGTTTCGATTTTAAAGAATTTATTAATTTTGATCCATATCTTAAATACGGCATTAATCTTAAAATAATCAAGTGATGACAAGTATCAATTCAATTTAAATTAATTAAAATTTCGTTGAGATTTCAAATAATTAAGTCACTAAAATAATTTTTTTTTTTTATAGAATCATGGCAGCAGCTGCATCTGCTACGTTTGGTCGTTTAGGATCATTGTTGGCTAATATACTATTTGGATTGCTCATCGATTCACACTGCATATTAATTATTATTATTTTCAGTTCGTTTTTGATAAGTAAGAATAATATTAATTATGAATATTTAAGGGTTTGCAAATATAACGTTAGTAGGGTAATATTGGGAATTCTAGAACCCCCCGCCTCACCCCTTCACCTAACCACCCACCGTTGGGTGGGCGTGGTCGGGGGAGGGGCGTGTCACACAGTGGGCGTGGTTTCTCAATGGTGGGGGTAATGTCAAGGTCATATAGTGGGCGTGGTTTCTCAATGGTGGGAGTAAGGAGAAGGCGTGGTCTTATCATTGATTGGGTAAGGAGAGGCGTGGTCTCTCGATGGTGGGGGTAATGGAGGATCGCATTTATGAGGGTGGGGGTAAGGAGAAGGCGTGGTCTTATCATTGATTGGGTAAGGGGAGTTGTGTTCTTATTAATGGTGGTGGGAAGGGGTGGAGTGGTCTCACGATGGTGTGAGTAATGACCGTAGTCAAGGTCAAACAATAAACGTGGTTTTTCGATGGTGAGGGTAATGGAAGATTGGATTTATGAGGGTGGGGTTAAGAAGTCTTATCATAGAGGAGGCGTGGTCTTATCATAGATAGGGTAAAGGGAGCCGTGGTCTCACGATAGTGGGAGTAATAGGTAACTTAGGTGGGGGTGTTAACATCAATTAAAATGGGGATTAAAGTGCGCATGCGCACTATAACTTCATGTCAGTGGTGGGGTAGGTAGCCATATGGTTGTCTCCTCCTACGATGTCATCTACTGGAGGGTAAGGTAAACCTCATGTGAACTGATAAACGTACGTGTAAACATACACATTACATTGAAATAATGTACGTCAAATAATGGCCGCCGTTGCCACTTTAACATATTTACTTAATATTAACGCTACGACTCTGTCAACAATTCCTATACAGGAAACATAACATAAACTAACCTATAATGGGTGGGGATGAATCCAACTATATTATTATTACTGCTATATTATAATGCTCATAGACGTCAGCATTTTATGAGAACAATGACAATGTTTGTCGTTATGGCATAATTTCTAAGAATTTTATCATCAGTTACCAGACGCATAGCTAAGCATATTTCCAACATCAAAGGTACCGCCATATTATAACTCACATTACCGTCTACATTTTATAAAAACAAAGACAACCTCTCTCGTTTTGGCATAATAAATTCTAAGAAATTTATC